TAGGGTTAGGGTTAGGGCTAGGGTTAGGGTTAGGGGTAGGGTTAGGGTTAGTAGGGGTTGGGGTTAGGGTTAGGGTTAGGGTTAGGGGTAGGGTTAGTAGGGGTTGGGGTTAGGGTTAGGGTTAGGGGTAGGGTTAGGGTTAGTAGGGGTTAGGGTTAGGGTTAGGGCTAGGGTTAGGGTTAGGGGTAGGGGTAGGGTTAGGGTTAGTAGGGGTTGGGGTTAGGGTTAGGGTTAGGGTTAGGGTTAGGGTTAGGCCGGTTGCCTTTTAGTGGAGCCTGTTCAGTCTCTGACTCTGTAATGGTGGATGTCACCAAGCTGTGTTCCTGCTTTTCAGTTCTCACGGGAACATGGATTCTTGAATTGTCCTTGCAGTGAACGCTGCTCCTTGTTAGTGATGCAGTTGTTGCACCTGAATGAGGCCATTGCACTGCTAGATTTTTAAAATGTGAGAAATCCCTTGTACTGACTGGCCTAACTTGTGCTCTGCTTTGCATGAGCTTCTGTTGTTGATCAGACTGTAATATCCAGAGACTCAGGCAGAAATGTGTTTAGATGCTGCTGAAAAACTCTGTTGCGACTGGCTTTGTCTTTGGAGTGACTCATTAGAGGCTTTTTTAACCCCAAGCAGTTTCTGGGTGGTTTTTGGCCCTGTCTCATTTGACTGACTGTGTGCTCAGTTTGCACTGCGATATAAAGTCCTGCACCTCTATAGAAACAGCACAGCCATGGCCAGAAGGAGAGACGACTCAGAAATATCTTTTGCGTAGTGTGACTCAATCATCATGCCAAAAATTTCAAAGAAAGATGAAACAGAAGTTGAATTTCTTTGATTGTTGCTCTCATAAAAATTGAAAAAACATGGAGTCGACATGTACAATAAGTGTTAGCAATACTTCAGATAAATAATAATTAGATAGTTTTGTACAAACATTATTGATTAGTCTCCATGCGTGCCCTCCATCCTCTCTGTGTGTGCAGCAAAGTGTCGCCACAGCTGAGCGCTGACTCTTGGTCTGTGACACAATCAAGGTTTGTTTTTCTCCAATGTTTGATGCTACACATTGAATAAAGATAGTTTCATGACATATCAGGACTTTTTGGTTGAGTTTGCCAACAAAACCAAACGTCTCACTCGGTTTGTTCACAGATCGTTATGTTGGTTTTTTTCTTCAGTTTTTACAATAATAAACTGTAATTCTGTCATTTGGAAAACAAAACTGTAGCAGCAGGTTTTGAGGTTCTAGAGGTTTAATTACTTCATTTTAAAAATTCAAGATCCAGCACTACATGCTAAATGTGCCGAGACCGTTCTGTTGAAGACAACAGCCAGACGTGCAGCTCTTGAGCAGCACTGATGGTCAGGATGTGATCTAATGCTGTCAGCTGCTCAGAGCTAACCTCCTACTGACCCCTCATGGAGCCCAGCTGTATTGCTTCCTTATGGGGCGTTTTNTGTGTGTGTGTGTGTGTGTGTGTGTGTGTGTGTGTGTGTGTGTGTGTGTGTGAGGTTATGGGGGGCTGTGAAATGTAAGAGGCCTTGTAATGCTGTTGTGGTTTGGCTTTCTCAGAAGTATTGGCGTTTGACTGAAATCTTGATACTGAGGAGCACACACCTCTGAAATAGCGACATGCCTGTGTGGGGTGTCAGCTTGCGTAGCTGTGTGTGTGTGTGTGTGTGTGTGTGTGTGTGTGTGTGTGTGTGTGTTCTCCACATCTCAGCTGAGTACAATGCGTCTAAATCGGGTCATGGATGTAGCGTTTCGGTGCCAAGCATCAGAACAGAATGTGCGCTTCCTCCTCCTCCTCCTCCCTGTAGAGGTTTTGCTGCTATGTCACAAATTCCCGAGCAACCACGGAGGAGCCATCATGTAGGTCTGCGACAAAAATGAACCATCTGTGGAAACGTAGTTGGCAAATGGAAGTGTGCTTGTTTTACGGGCTTATTGTAGAAGCAGCAGCTCAAGTTTGAAAGTCTCCATAAGTGAGTAACCTGGATAAAGACGTGCAGTAAGACGTGTTCATCACCCTGAGAGGATTTAGGCCAGACTATGGAGATGGGGGAACAATCAGGCTGTTGAAAGACAGAAAGAAGAATGTCTCATGCTCTGTGATGGACAGTCAACAGGAGTGTTTCTGGTCATTGATTTAACCCTTTAAATCTCATCTGTGTATGAGTGTGAGATATCGAGAGGCTTTTTTCAGTGAAATAACCCCTTCCTGTCTTCAAGTCGCTTGGAGGTAAGTCTGTGCTGTTGCTTACTTTAAAATGTGCAGATCTATGAAGTCACCCTGTTCGCTGCACATCAAGCACACCAGCTCACCTGCGACTGTGTTAGGGTTAACACTGCGAAAGTACTGACAGGTTGTTAAGTTGGAGTAATTCAGCCATCCATGTTCCATCCAGAAGCTCATTCTAAAGAACAGCGAGGGTGGACCGCAGGAAGGCCCGCCTGTAGCTCTGCAGGATGCTTCTTCAGGTTTGTTACGTAAGAAATCTCCAAAGTCTGAATCCGTGTTTTTGAGGCTGTCGTGGTTACGCTGCAGTTTTAAGGCGGAAATGCTCTACCAGGACGCTGACTGCTTATTGTGCCCATAAATACAACGCATGGACGTGACAACAGGGTGAACACCGACTGTTCGCTGGTACGTCATCGAGGATGTAACTTCTGTGAACGTGTGACAGTAAATTAAATCGTGACTTTATCAATAAGTGCACAGTAAATCTGATTAAGTAGATAACCAGCCGGCTGATGAAGCTAATGATCAATTTTAATGTGAAATGAATGCAATCTGTAGACGACTGTGTCTCTGGCTGGTTCATGGTCAGTGCAGCCATGTGTTCATTCATCTTCTTTTCATAGCTCCACTACGAGATGGGGACAGACTTGTGATGGATTTCTCATATTTGCTGTTGGACAGAGTTAACATGGTTTCAGAGTCACTCTCTGCTCATTCATTCAGCCCCTAAATATCTAGTTCCATCTTTAGAAGTTTTTCTGAGGAAAAGAGAGGGATGTCTTGTCTTATTTCTTAACTCCAACTCCGACATAATCTGCTCCGGGTCAGCCAGCGTGTTTAAAGCACACAAAGAAGCTCAGCAGAGTGGCGCCAGAACTCGCTGCTAAGTGTTGTGGTGGTGCCACACAAGCTCACAAATGTATTTATACAACTCATAAAGTTGTATCTAATCTAAAGCTCACCGACGTATACCTGCTCAGAATGCTGTCGGTCTCTTGTGTAATCTCTGCGTAGATTCAGCGCAGGAGGATCAGTCAGCTTGACTGGCTGTGTGTCAAACACAGCAAAGCAGTGACATATGTGGGGAATTCATCCGTCGCTCCTTTGGTGGCTGCTGTGCAGATAAGGAGCTGTCTTCCACTGCGGCTGATGGCGATCGACATTGACTTTGCAGTCAGACAACGAACGCCACCCTGTGTCCACCACCTCCACTTCAGCGATGCGTTCTCGGTAGCTCGCTGCTGGGTATGTGAGGATGCCGGTGCAGGGTCTTCAGTAGCTGCTCCATTCCAGCCAATCAGAACTTCAACTTCAGCGTGGCGCAGCAGCTCCACCTTGTTTGCCATCCATGCGCTTCTGGGTTGTACTTGTTACCTCCTTGCTTGTGTTGTATCTGCTCTCAGATGAACGTCGCTTTGGATAAAAGCGTCTGCTGAATGAAACTGTAGAATTTGACCCGTATGAACATGAGATCCTTCCTTAAGCCAGCCGGCATCAGTGCTGTGGTGCTGGAGTCGTTCTGTCAGTAAATTATTTTTGTGTTTTCATGGACAATTTAACCCTTTGACAGGCAAAAAGTCCAAATTACATTCTGGTTTATTATTTTTCAATCTGAAAATGAACCTTTTTTACATGATTAAGTGCCAGACAGAGGATTGGCAAAAAGACATCACCTTAGGCTCTGGGAAAGTGTTACTGCCCAGAGCTACTGACAAACCATAAAATGATTAATCAGAAGAATCAGAATCAGGTTTATTGTCATTACACAATGTACATGAAGCTGCACTTGACTTCTGTCCTTACATACAAATAACAGACTGGACATAAATGTGTATAGAACAAGGACCATGCAGAAGTAATCAGTGGGAATTCTTATTTATTTTTATTCATTTTAACATTTTTTCCTGTCTGTCATTGTTGTGGTAACATTAAAGTAAGCTTTCTCTTGACCTTTAATAAAAGTAGGAACCTCAGAAGTTACCAGTACTTATCAGTGTTGACTGAGTGAAACAGTTCATGGTGACGTACTGCTCAGGCGTATCGCCCAACCTCCAGGCTCTACTTGCCCTGTATACACAGTGAACGGTATCCTACCCCTACCCAGGTCCCAAATTGGAGCCCCACCACCCCACCCCTCTGGCAGGAGTGGAGAGGGCACCTTGGGATGGGACTCGGGGCTAAAGGGGGAGGCGTCTAAATTTAGGCCGGGTGGCAGGAAACACAGCCGGAGAGGTGTTTAAAGGCACACCGCTCTGCTAGCGCCACCCTTGGATAGCATTAGCCTCACACAGCAGTTTTAAGACTGTTAAGGTACTAACGGGCGGATAGCGCAGAGAAAACTACAAGAGCCAGGTGAGTGCGGGAGGAACTCGTGTTTGGTTGGAGCGGTTTGTGTCCTGTTGGCCTTTGTAGGATCTTGTCAGGTCAGTGCTCGACAGCTGGTTGGTAACCCAACACCTGTGCTGGCTTTTGGAGCATCTGAGCACATATCTGGTCCGTTACTCTTGTAGACTTACATAGAGGAGAGTATGTCAGACGGGTCTTTTCTGAGCGCTGCTTGTTGTTGTCCAGGCAATCATTTTCTTCCGTCAGTCAGAATTTAAAGGATTACTTGGTGTTAAATTGGTAATCCTGACAATCTTCTTTTGGTAACATGTTGAATTAAGTGTCAGTGGCTGGGATGTCTCTTTGAACACATCCCCTGTGGGCTGAACTCTGGCGTGTTTCTGCTTGGTTCCTGGTGTTTTTCATCGCTGAGAGTTGGAAAATGGACAATTATCGATGCAAATACAGACGATGAAGTCCGTTTGATTTGATTGTGTTGGAGGGTGCAGCCACACCTCCTTGTTTGGCCTCTTCTCTATTTATCTGTCTGTTTCTTTCCTGCACAGGCCTTTTCCTTCCCTCTGTTTGTCAATGAGTTGTTCGTTTGCCAGCTGATTAAACAGACGAGCGGTAATGAGTAACATCCAACTCTCTCTCGTTATCACAGCCATCACTGCTGTCATCATCCATCCTCTGCTCACTGGCGAGACTCCCATTAAAGTCTCAGTGAAACCTCACGAGTAGCAGCAGCCACAGTCGTAAATCCTGCCAAAATGGAGTCATTAACCAAGATAACGAGGAAAATGCTTCTTTTTCCCCCTTATTCATTTTATCAACTCTCATTGAAACGTAGCAGTGATTTCCCAGAGCGAGAAAAGGTCGACTGTGCTCATCATGTTGTATTCTCACATGGCCTCCCATCACTCGCTCTGACATCTCTGTTGTGCGCAAAATGTGTGTGTGGTTGTCATCTCTCTTGGCGTATGTATGTGTGTGTTTGGTCTCATTCTATCTGTGTGTGTGTGTGTGTGCACGTTACCAGGGAAGAGCTTAGACAACAGCTCGCTTAAGGCGCAGTCCAGCACCAGCTCCCAGCCTGATAGTTCCTCAGCTGCTGTGCACTGTAAGTCAGCATGGCCCGCCACATGCAGCCTGTGACATACACACAAGTCCACCGCTCCGCTAGCAGCTCCTTACACTAAATCCTTCCTTGGGTGTTTTCCATTCAGTCCCTGCATGTATTAACAGCATACATCTGCTGCCATTTAGCACCACGAAGTCCCCGAAGGTCCGTAGTCGGCGCCATTCCCGCGTCTCACTGTCAGAGGGACCTGAAACATTTACTAACAGCATAAATAGTGAAAGAAAACAAGCCATTCTGAAAACCATTAAATGCTTTGTAGTATTTCTGCTCCTCTGCTAACCCATCCTCCTGCCTTGATCCGCCCACGCCTCGTGTGTTGAGAGTAGCTCTTAGTCTCCCCCTCATGGACGTGGATAGCATAACAACACATCCCTTGTGCTATTTTTCATAGCATGAGTCTGCTATCTGAGCGACGCCTCGTCTCGGAGAGCTCTAATGATGCATTGGTGACTTCAGTCCACGTTTGATTAGATTGTGGCGGTTCGTCTCAGCGCTCTCCCAGATGAGGTTGGTGCTCGTTTGGTCGACCCGTCCATTTAAGCGCACTGTCTTCCATGTTCCTCCCTTCCTAAACCCAGCTGCCGCCAAGTTTGCTGACCTGCTGGGCTCAGTGCGTAGGGGCTCAGGGCCCATATCGGACGGAGAAGGGAGATCCAGCACTCCGCCTCCCGCTGCCCTCTCCGCCCCCTCCCCTCCACACACCCCTGCTGTCCCAATGCAGAGTAAGTAGATGACCACTGGGTGAGGCTCATGCCCACATGGACCAGCATCTCCCGGTCCTGAGTTTTCTTGCCAAGGTGATCAGATGCAGTGCTGTCGTGTCATTTCTAAGCTCTACGTAGAACTTTAGTTTTTAGCACACGTGTTATTCCTGCATCATCAAGATATTTGCTGAGCTTTGATAACGTACAATCAAAATCCATTTACTTTCATGGGTTTTTGGGCAGAACAAAGCTGCTAATGTCGTGTGTTTTGGTGATGAAACTGACTTTCTGTGGAGCATGATAAAGTTTCTGTTGTGTTACAGAATTAAACACAACAACAATGCCGTCCTTCAGCTTCCACTTTATTAAGGATGTAAAAGTATATAAAAACATAGTGACACTTGATGTAGTGTAGTGGTTTTAGCACCGCTGTACTGGTCCTCAGACAGCGTTCACAAGCTGGAGGTCACATGCAGACCCTCGGCTTCGGGTTTGCTGCCTACTGTGCATTTATTGACATGAAAAGGGTTATTTAGAGATTGTACCCGTTATTAATACATGCAAATGAAAGTCTCAAGATAAATATTAGCAGAGCTCCGGATACACTTTACTCCATGTGAAACACTGCAGTACGAGCTCAGCTGTGTG